AGAGAGGGAGGGAGGGAAGGGAAGGGAAGGAGGGAGGGAGGAAGGAAGGAAGGAAGGAAGGAAGGAAGGAAGGAAGGAAGGAAGGGAGAAAGAAAAGAGAGGAGGAAGGAAAATACAATACAATACAATGGAAGCAGAGATTCTATTTAAAAGCCCAACAAAAGTTTCCAGAAATAAAACGAGCAAGCAAAATGAAAATGCCAGTGAAACATCTTGGGAAGAAAGCATCTCATTCTTGAACAGGAAGATTCAGAGTTTTTAAAATGTCAAGGTTTAGCGAATTGTTTCATAAATTTTTCCAACCACAATGAAAGTGCCAATATCATAAAATTACCAACAAAATTCTGAAAAGAAATAAATAAAGCAAGGGATTGGTCTTAACAGATATGAAAATAGATGACTAGGTTACAGTAAGTCACACAGAATCCACTTCTGGAAATGTGGCTCACAGATACATGCGTGGTGCATGAACAGATGTGCCTCACTGCAGCATCATTTGCAAGAGCAAAACCCTGGGCATCAATATCCATTGTTCAGGTGGGAGTTAGGTTAGTATTTCACAACAGACTGTGATATAGTCATTTTCAAGCATCTTGAAGATGGTTTCTTTCCCTTTAAAGTGAACTCCTTTGAAAATAGAGACATTTTCATTGGCATGTGTTTATTGTGTGTGGCCATGAAGGTGGGCATGGTATGTGTACATGTGCATGAGGAAGCCACGGGACAGCCTGGCCGTCATTCCGCAAGCCTTGTTCACCTGGTTTTGTGAGACAAACTCACTCACATAAAGTGCACAGATGTGATTAGGCTGGCTGGCTAGTAAGCCCCAGAAATCCTCCTGCCTCTGCTTCCCCAGTGCTGGGATTGTAAGAGCATGCCTCCATGCCCAGCCTTTTCCACATGGGTTCCAGGGATCAAATTCAGCCCCTCGTGCCTATTAACTAAACACTTTACCAACTGAGCTATGTCCACAGGGCTTGATATATTATTTTTATGATACCGAAGTTTAAGAATGAAGAAAGAGCTCTAGGATCTAGGCCGTGGGACATAACCAGTCCCTAGGATCCCCACCCATCACTGCTCCAGCTGCCCCAGTCGCCTGCCAGCAGGGAAGATTCCTGTGGACAGGCTCCCCACCAAAACCCCTCATTAGACCCTGCAATCTACAAGACCCACA